GTAAGACCACATTCTCACAGAATACTAGCGGAAGAACCTTTTTACTGGAAATGAGCCATTTCCATCTTAGTCCTCTGGGCTTACATAATACATAAATTTTGATTATTAACAATAATAAAAGTCTTTTATTCAGACAAATATTGGTTGATATGTTACCATATCTATCTACATTTTGGTTCTTAATCCAGAATAATAGATGTTTATAGACCACATTATCCACTTACCATCAGGTGGACAGTGTGCTTGTTTGTTACCTTACCCCATCCACCCATTATAATAGAAAAAAATAATTATAATTAATTCATTGATCATTTAAAAATTACAATCCTTAAAGTATTAAAGTAGGTTATTGCAAAAACCTGATCTAACAATAATAACAACAGCCATAAATCATAATGGGACAGTTGTTCCCAACTGGGGCATGAGTCCCATTATGATCCTATGGCTGTACAGCAGCATAGTGAGGCCGACTTTTACCTACGCCTCTACCGTCTGATGTAATAAGGTCCACCAAAAGACGATTGCGGACAGTCTAAACGGTCTACAAAGGACTGCTTAATGCAACGCCCTGGGCAGTCTGAGCTTGCTTTCCTATAGACTATATATAGATTGTGATCTATGCTTGACTCAATCAAGGAAACACTGGTCTTACCCATGATCTCAGATATCATGCGTCCACTATATACTTTTAACAAAAAGTACATAGTAGAACTACCCTCCAGAGAAGACTGGCTGAATGGACAGGTTATCTGTGAGGTTGGTAGTCTAATAGCCTTATATGGTATACCGATGGGTCAAAAATGAGCCTCGACATAGGTTTTGGAATTTAGGGGGAATGCCCAGAATTCAAACTTAGTATGAATTTGGGTAGATTTACCTCTAAATTCCAGGCAGAAATATTAGCTATACTTCAGTGTGCGGAAATCAATCTAAAAAAAACACCATGTCAACCATATAATCTATATAAATTCTGATAGTTTAGCAGAACTGCTAGCGCTGAGATCAAAATTAGTGAACTCGAAGCTAGTTGGAGAATAACCGTCTAAACACCCTGGGATGTAACAACAGGGTAGTATTAAGATTGGTTTCGGGTTATGCGGGAATTGTAGGCAATGAACTGGCCAACAAGTTTGTACGGGAGGGCTCAGAGAGTACACGATTTGGATCCGAGCCATTTTATGAAATTTCAAAAAGCCTAGACCAATTGACCTGGTCTGATACACCAGGCTTAAAATATTATAAAACCTTAATACGGGCTTTTGATAGTAAATTCGCTTCAAAAGACTTGGGATTAGGTAAAAATGAATTGCCATTCAAAATAAAATACAAAAAATATAACATGCCATTATACATAGCATTTGTAGATTATGCTAAGGCTTTTGACAGCATATCACACTCATGTATATGGAAGGCTTTGAGAAAAAACAAAATAAATGAAAAATATGTACATAAGTGTGCTAAAGAAAATATATGCTAAGAGTACGAGCAAAATAAAACTAGAACGACACATAGAAGAGTTTGAAATTGGGAAAGGAGTGAGGCAAGGTGACCCTCTTTCACCAACACTATTTATAGCCGTCCTTGAAGACATATTTCAAAACCTAGAATGAAAAAACAAAGGTATATGGACACTAAATAGAAGATTGACACATTTACGATTTGCTGACGACATAGCTCTATTTAGTGAATCTGCAACTGAATTAGAAATCATGCTTCAGAGACTGAAAACCCAAAGCCAAAAAGCAGGACTTCAAATGAATGCATCTAAAATAAAAATAATTACAAAAAGCTCCAAAAAACCAATCAAAATAGAAGGAAAATCCATTGAATATGTTGATGATTATGTATATTTAGGCAAATTGATATCTTTCGAACTAAACAACACTGAAAAAGAAATAGACAGAAGAATAAACATAGCATGGAAAAAATATTGGGCTCAAAAAGAAATTCTCAAAGCAAATTACAGCCTGAGAATGAAAAAGGTCATAATGGACTCGTGTATCCTCCCAAGTCCAACATATGCAAGCCAAACATGGGTGTACACTGAAAGAGTGAAAAACAAAATTGTGTTTCCAACATGCTATGGAGAGGAGCATCCTTAAACTAAGGAGAATACAAAAAACAAGAAATATAGATATTCGAAGGAAAACGAAGTTAACGGATGCACTTCAGCATAGTCAAATACAAAAATGAAAATGGGCAGGAAACATAGCTAGATACCAGAACAAAAGATGGACATACCAAACAACAAAATGGAAGGGCCCATTTGGCAAGATAAGTGTAGGTCGGCAAAGGAAAAGATGGGTGGATGACATTATTAACATAGCAGGAGAAGAATGGATGCAAATTGCCAAAAACCGTGAAGAATGGTTCAAATTGGAGGAGGCTTTTACCCAATAGGGACTACATAAAACAAGAAGAACTTTCTAATAGTTCTATGTATTTATTTATAATTTTGATAACTCTGTAAATGTGTACAGAAATAAAGCTTCATTATTATTATTATCAAATTGCCATTCTGGCTAGAACCCTGACTGGACACTGCTGTCTTAAAAAGCCCATGTCCATTCTGGGATTAAGCAACTCAAGGTCGGTTTTGTTCCCTAACAGAAGAAATGCCTCTGCACATCCTAACTGATTTTGGACCCTTAATGCACAAGCGTAACACTCATCTCTGAAACTATGTACTCCGCCCAAAAGAAGTATAATTGCTCACAGCTAAACAAATCCTATTCATTGAAGACATAAGACTTAGCTGTGAACTATAGCCATAGCAGTGATCCCAATGTATCTTTTAGCTGCATAGCTGCTCGCACAAAAAAAAAGATAATCCATAATGTCGGCTTTTTGACCTTTTTTTAGATATTTTTATATATCTTCTAGCATGGTTAGTATACACATGTAAACACTAATCTAACCAACATTTTGTTCATAACCACATTGTTATTTTTCAGGCTTTTATAATTGTGATTGTAATGTATATCTTGTACTGACCTATCAGACTCATGCTATCAATTAACATCCCTTTATATGGGGAAATGTCTATAGTTATTAATTTCGTTAAATTCATTACCTTTTGATAGGTTATGTCAGACATTTACCAATTTAATTCCATATTGTTTTATCTTCACTACATATTGGTAGGGCCAATGGCGGTACACTCACATATATCCGTAACCTCAACCAATGCTAGCCGCCTGGTAGTCCTTATACGAGAGAAATCAAGGTGCATTTAATATAGCATCTTAGCCTTTTATAAGTGTTATGTCACATAACCATAGCAATAGACACCTTTCAACACATTTCGCAGCTGCCGCCTCTATCGATATCACTAGGCATGTTCAGTAGGGGAATTAAGTTTAAGTTAAGCCTTGCCCATTAGCCCAATATGGCGTCCTTATTGTTTTAAAAAGTACTTATAAAAATAAGTATTAAGTGTAAAATTGTCTTTGAGTCACAGTAAAGAGAACAATTTTTTTTTAATTTGTTCATCAACAAAAATAAATTCCGTTTAGGAAAAAAGTCGCCTTTTCAAAAATAAATTTTCCGCTTCTATTATGAAGAATCAGAATGTGTCCTAAAAAGGCACGTGTGGTAATTCATAATGCTGTGTTAATCCCTACTTTAATGTATGGTAGTGAAAGTTGGGTGTGGCCGAATAAGCAAGAAAGTAGAATAAATGCTGTAGAAATGCGGTCTTTAAGGGAGTATGCTAGGGTTGAATCTGATTGACAGGGTGAAAAATTGCGTGATAAGAGATAAATGTGGTATGCAAGATGATGTTGTGACCAGGATTAAGATAGAAATGCTTCGGTGGTTTGGTCATGAAGAAAGAATGAACGAGGAAAGAGTGACAAAGCGAATTTGTATTGCAGATGTGAACGGCAGAGTTGAGAAGGGACGCGCTAGACGAAGGTTTATCGACCAAATTACAATATTTTGAAAATGGCCTACATTAGGAGTACCCTTAAACGACGAGCGTATATGCATAGATATATGGATGTAGAGGCGAAAGAGGTATGTCAGAATCGTGCTAAATGGAAGTCCGTAGTTTCTACCTATCCCTCTGGGTGACAGGCTGCGTGAGTGTTTATGTTTATTATGTATGTAAATTTTCCGCTAATTCTCATATTCTGACACTCCAGGCCCGGCATCATGCCTTATTCCTCTTCTGTAAATACTTACATCATTATATTGTTCTACGCATCAATTTGAAAAAGTATTTCGTAAGCGGAAATGGAGCACCAAATATTTAAATAATTTTGTTAAATTAAGGAACCACTGAAAGTTGTAGAATCAGCATTTCAGGAAACAGATCCTTTGTGGGATTGCATTCAATTTTCGTACAATTTCTATTATACCTATTGGAAATATATACGCGTATATTTTTATTTTGCTTACAGATTATCAAAAAAGCTGTCTACAGGGCCATGAAAGGAAATCTTCAAAGGCGACATACGATGGAGCGATTGTTTATTTACCCTGGAGAGGTCATACCCGAAGAGGTAAAACAAAACATAACGAATCAAATTCGCCAAATTCGCTTAGTGCCGACTAGACTCGATCATATACCAGAGGAGGAGGTCCAGAAATATCCAAAAGTCATGGAATATCCAGAAGATTATGTGCTTAAATGATTAAGATAAGTTTAAGCAGTGATTTAGATTTATAAATTAGATTATTAAAATGCTTTAATATAGATATCAAAAATTAAATAGACTTAAAATATATGTATTATCATTACACATTACCTTTATTATAATTTTTATTCCAAGATTTTTTTATTCTTCGTGTTAATTCTGTGCTATCTTTTATTTAGTAAAATACATGAATGATAATATATAACTGATTGCTTGTTAAACATAAATAACTCTTTATTTACAGTAGATAGATTTTGGTAAGGTAAATCTAATTTAATACAATTTTAGATGTTTATAAGTATTTTCATATATACAAAATTAATACATACATATTGATACCACATGACTTAAAGCATGCGCTTAGCGAAGCATGGGGTTATCGTAAATTTTTGTTGGGTACCTAGGAATAGATTTGGTATTATCGGATGTGTCCTCATTGATTGGAGAATCCACAAATTTGACAGCTGTTCCATCCTCAGCCTCGATTGGTACATCGGCGACACGGACAGTTTCACCCTCGTTAGCGGGAGAATCTACAAATTTAACAGCAATGCCAGAATCGTCAGCTCGTATTTCTTCATTAAGTGGTGAGTCTACGAAATTCACAGCGGCGCCGGCATCGTCAGCGAGATTTTCTTCTTCGTTATCGACGAAGCGAACTGCGATACCTTCATCAGAGTTTTCCTCGTTAACTGGATTTACAAAGCGAACGGCAACACCGTTGTCCCTGCTTACTTCTTCATTGATAGGTGTGTCTACAAAGTTGACAGCGACGCCTGAGTCAAAGTTAATAAAATTAACGTGCACGTGCGTGGGTTCCTCGGCATTCTCAATCATTTCATGAGGCACGATCAAAGGTCTGAAGTCAATAAGACCGGGAATGTTGGGTTTCGGCAAAGCCGAAACCACCGATAGAGAGGCAATCGCTAATAGTAACTTCATAATGTCTGAAAAAAGAAATTACTATTTAGTTTGGAATTTTATGTAACCAAGTGTGATGATGCGCTTGTTTGGTGGACGCATCTCATGGCCTTCAACAGAATATTGTTTATCGATTCGTCGTTGAGACGTCTTAATCTGCGAATGATTAGCCGTCTGCCGAACGCAACACATGCGGCAAATGCTATTATTCTGTAAAAGGCCAACATCCAGCACTGAACTGTAAGTACTATTAAAACAGAAAAATACTGGTTTATTCTCAATTGTTTTTTTTTTTTTGTATAAATGACTATAATAGCAGCAGAACCGGAGTGACCGACATGGCCCAACGGATTAGTAAGCTGAAGTTATAATGAGTCGGTCATATAGTTCGAAGAACCGACAACCGATGGATATAAAAGGTTCTCGAGTGGCAACCCCGTACCGGTAGGCTAACTGTCTCCTCACTAGATGGAATGACAATCTGGTAAGACATGCAGGAAGTCGATGGATGCAGGTGGCTTATGAAGAAATTTGTGACATTCCTTGGGGGAGGCCTATGTTCAGCAGCGGACTTGTGAAGGGCTGTAATGATGATGATGATGATAATGAGTACAGCTATAATGTTTAACAACTGATATTTGTAGACGTTGTGCATCCAAGAATTGTAGTATGAACAAAAATATTATTCAAATAATAAAAAAGCAGTATTTCATATAATCGAGCCATTTACCATAATGTTGAAACAACAATCCATTAAAATATAACATTTTTTAATGAATATAGAATCAAAAACATTTTTTCATAAAATTCCGTTAATGTTGTTGGAGGTGAAAGAGGGAAACTGAAACAGGAGATCGGCAGCAGCACGTTCTTGATGATAGCTTAAAATAATAAACAGCGGTTGCCAGCTCGTCTGCCAAGCGTGGCACCTATGGCAAATATCGCCCCTATGAAGCAATTAATGGGTGAGGCCTATTTCCACCGGCTGTAGTTAGTGTACTATTGAAAAAGAACTTTATAAAGGTGAATTGTTTTAGACGTCAACGCCAATATCTTAATATATATATTACGTATCACGTTGTTCGCGATGGACTCCTAAACTACTTAACCGATTTAATCAAATTTGCACACCGTGTGCAGTTTGACCCAACTTGAGACATAGGATAGTTTTTTTTTACCCATGAGTGAACCACATTTTTTTGCGAATTTAAGGATTTTTAATAGGACATGACAAAGGGTCGTCGAAAAGGGCAGGTCAACGTCTGCCTGGCAAGCTAGTATATAAAATAAACTAACACTGATACAATGTACATTTAATGTTACCGAAACCATGATGATGTCATTTGGCCTAATACACTTGACTGACAGAATGACTAATAAATTGAAGACGTAGTTTACAAATGGCCTATAAATTTCTGTTTTGTTTTTAAATTTTATAATTTAATAGAGGTGAACAAAATAAGAGCACTAAGTCCTAACATACTAAAACGTTATTTCTCAATAAAATCTGTTTATTGTAAATTAAAATGCCGATTAATTAATAAAATCAGTGAGACTTAATTAGTTAAAAACTTACCTGATAGGTGTATTATTCAACAAATCACAATTGATAAGGGCTCCTCTTATATAGGTAAATATATGGTTATCGACTAAAGTAAATGATAGCAGGGTCTTATCACTGAGTCTTGATTTGTCCACGTAAATTATTGATTTCGTTTTAATCCCTATGCTAATACACATCATTATTGAGTAATTATCACGCAAGTAGTGCTTTATCCTGTTTTTGATAATTATTTCGGTAGTTTTAATTTGTCAGAATGTCTATCTGATATTACATTTGAATAACAACAAAGACAATATACGATGCTTGCTAAATACCCACGCAAAATATTATTTTAATTATAATTTCCGTGGTAGACCCAATCTGCAGCTATATTAACGTTGTAGCACTAATAGGTCAGCACGACCTGGGAACGACCACGCTCTCATAGAATACCAGCGTAAAATAGCAGCTCAATGCTGCTGTGTTTCGGATAGTGAGTGTTGAGAACCGAAGACCCCTTTCACTGGATACGCGGCATTCCATCCCGGGTGACAACGCATCTGCCATCTGCATTTTGATTCGCAATTGAGGATAGATGTGGATGTCTATATTCCACAGCATCCACTTACCATCAAAGGGACTACTCGTTTGTCACCCTTATTCTATAGAAAATATGCCATGTCGAAGGGATAACAATAATGGGTATTAAGTATTATATACTAGTGCGGAAGGCAATCGCATTGGATCCATTAATCCGTCGGAATAGCATAAATCGCTGCTTGCTTATAGACATCTAGTCTGCCTAGACTACGAACCGAGCAAATTCTTTTGCCGTGTTGTTGCTTTCAAGTTCGAATCTAAAATATCCTAAAACCACCTTTTACAGCCTATTAAAATCCCACTGCTGTTCATTGGCCATAGATAGGCAATCTATGGGACCAATCATAAGGGGAGATTTTACTAGTTGCCACGCCTGCCAGGCGGCTTGGCAACCGCAGTTCTATATTACTTTGAATTGTGATCAGGAAGATGCTGCTGCCAATCTTCTGTTTTAGTCTCCAGGGATGACAGAGGTCCCTCTTACTACCCGCACGGGATGATATGGCGTAGTGGATATTCCTATACCTCCACTATACGGTTACCACCTTTTATGTGGAATACATTTCTATTTCTCTAGTTTGATATGTAGACTATCGAAAACTTATTGCTCATAGGTGCATATAGGTCCCATAGCGGTAATGCCGACACAGACCGACTAATCGACCACATCCAGATGGCTACAGACTCCGTGCTATACAACAGGTCCTATCCGCAGAGATCGTGATACTTGGTGATTTTTTGAGCGCCACGCCAAAAACGCATTACCGTGTCCTGTACGCCAAAGCAAAAGTAAACAAAAATACCTACGAAAAAAATAGTGTTGCCAAGAGTTGATATATCGATATCACAAAATAACTTGATTTTGTTGGTTTTTTATGCAATAAATGACTCTTTATAAACCGGTATGTTTTATTTAATCTTGTGTTGTCTTCCACTCTTTTTATATATGTACTTTGTACATAGATAAAAAAACAAACAATAACAATAAAGTAGTAGTAAACCACAGCACTACTCTACATCGTCATGACGTCACTGTCACGACTGGACGACAACGGCGTAGCTGACCTTCTTTTTGAAACTTTCTATAGAGATGTAGCCGTGTCGCACGTTATGTATCGATTTTGAAATCGATCTAACCAAAATATACAGAGATCGACTCAAAATATTTTATGTATCGGGGGAGGCGTAGGCCAAGTGAAGCACAGAAGAACGCTTACGCTCTTATGACAATGGGGGTTTGATACGACGCTGATGTTACCAATAATTTTGAGATTGAGAAAGAAAATCGCACAACACAAAATGAAAAATTGCTCTTCATACCTTAAGAAAAAAATAAACATTTATTATTTGTAATTTTATATTATTAAAATAAAAAAATTCATCATCATCGACGCTTTCCAAAATGCGAATGAGTTCTGAGGAATCGTTCATGTTACACTGCACTACTTTTTCCGCTATTCGTTTATGACGTCATCAGGGTGTCGTCTATCCTTGACCACGGCGCCCAATGAACTGATAATTAGGAGTGGTCGTTACAAAACGTAACTAGTTAGTGAAACTATCTATTCACACAATAGCGGGTAGCGGGTTATTGCAGTGCAACGAAACTATCTATTACAGTAGACGTTTTACTCAGTAACACGATTCACGTTTCACGAATCACGAACGACCGATCAGTAACAAAACGTTTATTCGGCTATTTTCGCGACGCATCGGCGACGGCTTCGGCTGTTGAAGTAGAAGCACATGAGTAACGAAACCGACACTTTACGCTGTGGTAGAAGTACCACCGGTCGTTGTAACTTAAGTGGCCGTGTCCCGGTTTAAATTAGTCTTGTGTTTAAGTTTAATGACACAGTTTGTTTTTACTTTTTAGGCGCGTTTGTTAATATTTTTGTTTTCTTTTTGTGCAATAATGATAATATTTTTAGTTAAATAAGAACTAAATACAATTGTATATATTAGTCTTAATAATAATAATAATTGTAATTATTATTATTAACACTAATATACTAAGTGTAAAAATAATACTAAAACTTTATGTGATAGTTATCAAAAATATCTCGAAGTAATGCCAGTGTACTTTTCAAGTGATATTTTTATCAAACCGTGCGAATTGATTTAACAAATAAATAAATTTAACTATTAACACCATGGCTAATTCTATACGAAACGGTAACAATGGTCGCAACGTTTTCAATTGAACACGTCGTGAAACATTCTATTGAAGCCGCTATTGAAATAGAGTGTTTCAAAACCGTCTATTAAAATAGAGTGTTTCAAAAGCCGCTATTAAAATAGAGTGTTTCAAAAGCCGCTATTGATATTCGATAGATAGTTTCGTTTCGTTACTCAAAAAAGCCGCTACTACCCACCGCTACTGATAATCGATGACGCGCTAAGGATGCGCCAGAGTTGAGATATCAGATTTATTATGCGAAGTTGATTTGATGAAATTTTCTTTTATTTATGTAGCTGATGATAGTTTTATGTGTCTTATCTTTTGTGTTATTCAAATATCAATAATAATTTCACGTTTGCGTTTAATTTTGATTAGTTTTCAATAAATCTATGACTTTGGCGTGCTGGACATAGGTAGTATTTGCTTAGATAAAAATACACTCTTTTTAGTTCAATGTTTCTTAGTACTTGTGTCTCTAGGAGACTTGTTTTTTATACTTACATGTTGGTGGGTTATTCTTTTTTGAGGAGTGTAGAATTAAAATACCAGTAATAATTTTCCAATATCTATATTTCATATTTTTGTGGGCCGGGTTTTTTGTTAACTATAGACGTCGTTGGCGCTCAGGGCCCGCAGGTGTTGGTCAAGTATAGGCGACTTTGGCGCTCAAAAAGTTAACGGCCACCATGCTGAATGGCTTGGTTCTCGTTTAACCGATCATGCAGGTAGATCTGTTTGTGACTTGGCTTTGGCATATGGTCTGACACAACTAGTTACCTCGCCTACTCAGATCCCAGATGTGGAAGATCATGTACCTTCACTGTTGGACCTTCTGTTGATCTCTCATCCGGACGGATATCTGGTCTCCGTTGATGCCGCTCTTGGCTCCTCGGACCATTGTCTGATCCGGAGTACGGTGCCACTGACGCTACCATCGCGGTTGCGTACTGCAGGTTGCCGCCATGTTTGGCATTGTAGGTCAGCCGAATAGGACGAGATACGATCTTTTTTTGCATACTACCCTTGAAAGCGAGTTTGCTTCTCGCCACGTGATCCCAGCGTTGTTGCTGATTCTGTCGCTGATGTGGTGCTACAGGGAATGGAACTATTTATTCCGTCATCCGTGGAATCTATCGAAGGCAGAACCCAGCCTTGGTTGGTCGCTTCTGCAAAATTGCATTACATCATAAGCAGGAGTGTTACCAGGCCTGGGCTCGCGCATCGACATCTCGGGATGTAAATACCAGCATTCTTAAAAAAAAGTATAATTCTGCTTCCAGGTCCTTCAAGTCAAGGCAAAGTCAGAGTACATCGGCAGAATTGGCGAGAGACTTGTTCGCCTTCCTTCGGGAACACGTGCATTCTGGACCATGCCGCAAATGACAAAGCCGAGCTACTGGGCTCTCTCTTTGCATCCAGCTCGACTCTTGATGACGGAGGGAACACACCGCCGACCATGCCGCAGTGTGAGTGCTCCATGCAGGATGTGCTGTTTACCCAACGCTCGGTGCGCAGAGCACTCCTCTCTCTGGAAATCAATAAGTCGAGTGGGCCTGATGGCGTCCCTCCTATTGTGCTAAAGACTTGTGCTCCGGAGTTGGCACCGGTCCTAACGTGTCTTTTATGCGTACTCCTACTCCCTAGGCGTAGTCCCGAAATCATGAAAGACAGCCTTCGTGCACCCGATCCCTAAAAAAGGTAACCGCTCTGATCCGTCCAACTATAGGCCTATCGCCATCACGTCCTTATTCTCTAAAATAATGGAATCTATTATTAACAGCCAGCTCATGCGGTACCTTGAGGGTCACCAGCTGATTAGTGACCGCCAGTACGGTTTCCGTCGCGGTCGCTCGGCTGGTGATCTTCTAGGTTACTTAAGTCATAAATGGTCGAAGGGAGTAGAGTCCAAGGGGGAGGCGTTGGCCGTTAGTTTGGACATAGCAAAGGCCTTCGATCGGGTTTGGCACAAAGCGCTTCTCACGAAGCTTCCTTCCTATAGACTTCCCAAGAAATTGTTCAATTGGATCACCAGTTTTCTTGCTGATCGGAGCATCAAAGTCGTAGTGGACGGTGCATGCTCCAAATACAAACCCAAAAGTGTTCCACAAGGCTGCGTGCTATCACCAACGCTGTTTCTTCTGCATATCAATGACATGTAGCAAATCGGTAGCATTCATTGCTATACGGACGACAGCACTAGTGATGCTCTGTACACTGGCCGTGCTAATATTTCTCGGGTAAACGGTGCCGAGTACCGGGACAAACTTGTGTCTGAAGTTGAGACTTTGTTGAACAAAATCTCGGACTGGGGGCGACTAAACCTAGTCCAGTTTAATCCCCAGAAGACACAAATTTGCGCGTTTACCGCTAAAAAGAACCCCTTCGTCGTATCTCCTCAGTTTCAAGGCACTCCCCTTGTTGCCTCAGCCAGTATCGGAATCCTCGGCGTCGACATATCGAGTGACGTGCAGTTTCGTTGGTCACTTGAAAGAGAAAGCGAAATTGGCCTCTATAAAGCTTGGCGTGCTCAGCAGATCGGGACAGTATTTCATGCCGGCTCACCGCCTGCAACTTTACAAGGTGCATTCCCATCTCTGGGCCGGGGCTCCCCAGTGCCAGTTCCTTCCAATTGATCGCATCCAGCGCAGAACAGTTCGAATAATCAGCGACCGAGCTCTTTCCAATCGGTTTGACTCACTGGCACTGCGAAGAGATATTGCATCCGCGTATTTTATCGCATCTACCACCGAGGAGTGCTCTGAGGAATTGTTCGGACTAATTCCAGCCACACAGTTTCACCATCACACATCGCGACAAAATTCGCGATACCGTCCTTACCATCTGGATGACTGGCGGTCCACCACGAAGTGATTCAAAAGAAGTTTTCTTCCTCGCACAACTTCCTTGTGGAATCAATTACCACCAGAGATTTTTCCAGACCGATTCGACTTAGGGACCTTCAAGAAAAGAGTCTATTCCTTTTTAAAAGGCCGGCAACGCATCTGAGATCCCCTGGTGATGCAGCTGTTCATGGGCGACGGTAATCACTTACCATCAAGTGAGCTGTACGCTCGTTTGCCCCCGACTCCTATAATATATATATATATATATATATATATATATATATATATATATATATATATATATATGTATATATGTATATATAGCAACATAAGTTCGGTTCGGAGACATTACACACCTTCTTACACCACTCATACCTACCATTTACTTGCCCCTGACGGTACCGTGTGGTCGACCCTACCTCCAGAACTCGGTAAGTTTGTGTTTGCTTATCCAGCCATTACATAATAATTATCCATAGGCCATTTGGGCCCGAACCCTCTTGTTGCCCATCGAGTTGGGTTACTGATGGTCACTAGCCCAGTCGACTTCTGTCGGGGCAACTGAGGGCCGTAACATTTCTGGTAGCAGAGCGTGCTTGATTGTTTCTCCAATCACGCCCGTATATAATATTTTTTTTATTTTGTTAGCGGATTGCTGGTTAGAACCACGCCCGTTAGGCTGCGCAAGCAGGAGTGTAGTTCAGGGTTAGGTACCTACGCGTCAGGTATTTCGGGTAAGTAGATTAAATTGCCGAAGGGTCGGTCTTCTGTACGGAGCATACTTGCTGACCGACTGTAGTGTGTACGTGCCGTGTAGTGTAATTGTATTTAATTTAATAGTAATTCGTATTTAGTAGTGATGCCACCGCACAAGCCACCGGCGCTTCGCCTGCAAGCGGAGCTGCGCTGGGCCGCGAATGCCCATACCTTGATATGGCGACCCGATCGGGTCCATAGTTTAGAGAAGCGGATCGAGCAGGTCATGGCCCGAAGGGCCGTAGTGGAGGAGGCTTGCACTGAGCTTTTGGCCTCGGATGCGAAACAGGGAGTCCTAGACTCCTGTCTCGCGGACTACGAGCAATTCTTTTCGCTCACGGACGACTTGATCGAGGCGGGTGCCAAGTACGCTAATGAAGCGAGTGAAGCTCGGCTGAGTGGCCAGCCCGAGTCCCCTCGGAAGCAGCCTACTCAGCCGGAGCTGTTGGGACGACTCCCAACTCTGGGCACCTGCCAAGGTTCTCCGGGGTCCTCTCCGACTGGCTGACTTTTGTTGGCCTTTTTGATAGCCTAGTGGACGCCCGGAGGGACTTGACACCAAACCAGAAGATGGCGTACCTCCTGAACTCACTGGAGAGGGAGGCCCTGGGCGTCGTCGGCCATTTGAAATTGTCGGACGACGCCTACCAGGCCGCCCGGGACCTCCTCGCAGGAAGGTACGCCAAAGTCCAACGTCCGGCGAATTGCGGACGAATACGTTAGGAAGCTTCTAAACCTCCCGCTGCTTAGGGACCGGGCCAGACTACGTCGCACATCGTAAATCCAGTCGTGGTAGCCTGTAATTCATTGAGGCAGCTGGATTTACCGATGGACGAATGGTTCTTCTTGTTGCTCCACATCGTGCTGTCCCGCCTGCCTCTCGATCTTCGATCCATTCTTGAGAAGAGGTACGGCGGGGACAGCGCCTCCTATATTCCGCCTTTCAGGGACCTGCTGCGGTTCTTGGAGGAGAAGTGCTGGCAAATTGAGAACGCAGCGGGCACCGTCGACGACCTACGGGTTGCCAACCGAGCCGTGCCCAGGGAGAGGTGGAATCCACCCGGCAAGTCGTCGCCAACCCCCTAAGACGGAGCGGAGCTCCCACGGGAGGGCGCCGCCCCTACCATCTTATAGCGGTCTAGCGTCCCGGGAGGCGCCCCCCTGCTCCTATTGTCGAGCATCCGATCAACGGGTGACGTTGTGCCCGAAGTTATTGGGTAAGCCAATCCCGGCGAGGCGAACCATCGCCAAGGAGCGCCGCTGGTGCTTACTCGTGCTTGGAAAGACACCTCCAACGAGACTGCCCGCACCAGCGGCCCTGTCCGCACTGCCAGGGCAACCACCATGCCGTTTTGTGCCTGGGTGCGAACGGCGTTTCCTCTCGGGGCTCTGCCGGACCCTCAACTCCCACGGCCGGGGGCGCTCAGCCACGCGCTCTGTCGGGCGACGCTCGGCGCTCCCCTGCTGGCCACCGTGCCCCTGGGTTTGAAGGAGTCCCTCCCTCGACGAGGCGGGGGGGTCGTCCCCCCAGGGGCGGGGGGGTCGTCGCCCCCCCCTAAGCGTGTTAAGAGGAACTTCATGGCCACTCAGCGGTCAGCCAGACCCTTCTCACCCCCGTTAGCTGAGTGGCCGCGACTGGAGTACCACCCTCCCCCCTTTGGTCGGTATCGGTACTACGAGATTCCTGCGACCTCGAATCTGTCCCGGGCCTCAAGGCCGAGGTTCCCCGAAGCTTCCCAGGTCGGCCCGTTCGGTGATTTCCAACCACGGGTCATTGATATGCCGCCGGAATGCCGCTTTCGGGACCCCCGGTTCGAGTGCCGGTCCGATGTAGGCAGCTCCAGCTAGGTAGCTGCCGCCCTAGTTCCCACCACGGCCGCCTCCACTGATTCTTTCAGCCGTCAACAGTCTACTTGTCAAACTGTTCTATTGCCGACGGCCTCAGTGTAGGTGTACAACCCGAGTGGCGACTGTTGAACGGTTCGCGCTCTATTGGATTCGGGTTCACAACGCTGTGTGGCCTCCACTTGGTTGGTGGGAAGACTAGGGCTCCCCCTGGAGCTCTGAATAACGTCCAATGGTAGGTATCGGAGGTGCCTCCTGCTCCTAGGGGACAAGCGGAGTTGGTGTTTGGCCCTGCCAGCGAACACCTTCACATTCTAGTTAAAGTAAATGTCCTCGATGCCATTGTAGGTTTTCTCCCTAACGTCCGTATAAATGACAGCGCGGTTCGTTGTGCGTCGGGTTTGAGACCGGCAGACCCTCAATGGTCCCAACCTGGGCCTATAGATTTGTTGCTGGGGGCCGACGCGCTGGGGTTCATCTTGTTAGGCGAGACACGAGCCCTACAGCCCGATGGCTTGTCAGCCGTGTCCACTGTATTTGGGCAGTTTCTTTGGACCGGTTCTGTGGTCTCCACCTCCTCAGACGGCCGACCCGCTCTCTGTGGTGGGCGTGTCCCTTTCGGACTTCGTCCAGCGGTTATGGGAAATTGAGGAGCCACCACACGCGTCTCGAGTCAACGAGTCAACCCACTGGACCGTGAGTGCGAGTTGTTCTATCAGAACAATACCGGCCGTCGTGTCGACGGTCGTTTTGTCACTCGCTTACCCTTTCTTGACTCACGGCCCCCTTTGGGCCAATCTCGTACCCTGGCCGAAAAGAGGTTGCTTTCCATGGAGCGCCGTATGCGGCGCGACCCAGCCTTTCGCGACAAATATGTCGAGTTCATGCGCGAGTATCAAGAGCTGGGTCACATGTCACCGTCCAATTTCGACTGGCGGTCACAGGAGCACTACTTCCTCCCTCACCATGCGGTCTTGAGGACCCCTGGGAGTAAGATTCGGGTAGTTTTTGACGGCTCCGCCCCCTCGTCAAATGGTGTGTCCCTGAACCAGTGTCTCCACTCTGGTCCTAAATTGATCAAGGACATATCCGACATTTTGACCCACTTCCGTCGGCACCAAGTGGTTTTTGTAGCCGATATTCGGATGATGTTTCGACAATCAGTGGTCCATCGCGATGACCGTCGATATCAGCTGATATTGTGGCGCGAGAAGCCCAGCGATCCGATACAGGTGTTTGAGTTGAACACCACCACCTATGGACTTCGGTCCAGCCCGTATATCGCCATACGAACCCTCCTTGAACTCGCTGAGAGAGAACGTCTAAAATACGCTCGGGGGCTTCTATTTTGGAGACTATGGTCTACATGGACATTTGCACGGGCGCCTCCACCGTCGAGGAGGCTCTTGTATTGCGAGACGAATTGATTGCCATCCTGAAGTCCGGAGGTTATGAGTTGCGTAAATGGTTGTCGAACTCCCCCTCATATTTTGAAGAACGTCCCAGGAGAGGATCAACAAGACCCTCATCTATTCGAGCACCCTGAAAATCCTAATTTGTTGACTGTGCTGGGCATTCAATATCAGCCTGTTCAGGATACTTTCACGTATCGAGACAAACTCGATCTCCCTCCTAAATCATGGACCAAATGCTCCGTGCTGTCTACAGTAGACCGCACCCTCGATCCTAACGGATGGATCACTCCGGTCATTTTTTTGGCTAAGTGCTTTCTTCAAAAGCTCTGGATATCCGGGTTGGGTTGGGACGACCCTCTATGCGCTGCTCTCTTGCGAGAGTGGCACTCCATTGTGTCCTCCCTTCCGGACATCAACCGGGTCTCCATGCCAAGGTGCTTCCTCCCTCCAGGGAAATGCTGGGCTACGGGAACGCTAAAACTTTGTGACCCGGGAGGAGATCGCGTCCCTCTTCGATTATAGTTTTGTGCTAAGTGACGTTGTGTTAAGTAGATTTGAGTTCAGATAACGGTGCCCACTGCACACTAACAAGCCCACTGGAGTGATTGCACCTTGTGGAGCAGGGCAACGCATGTGGGTCTGCTGGCCGATTACATCGGTGACGTCAGGTTACATTACACACCTTCTTACACCACTCACACCTACCATTTACTTGCCCCTGACGGTACCTTGTGGTCGACCCTACCTCCGGAACTCGCTAAGTTTGTGTTTGCTTATCCAGCCATTATGGCCATTTGGGCCCGAACCCTCTTGTTGCTATATATATATATATATATATATATATATATATATATATATATATATATATATATATATATATATATATATATATCGTCGCGGACAATAGATTGTTCCAGACTAAATTGGCACGCCGCCGCCCGCAAAGCAACTACACCCGGCACAAACCGTCAAACAGGTTCATCGCCCAAGACGAGCGTTTTTGCAAGTTTTAAGTTGTTAAGTTTTAAGGTGCTGACGGAAGTGGGTCAAATTGTCGGATATGTCCTTGATCAATTTAGGACAAGAGTGGAGACACTGGTTCAGGGACACACCATTTGACGAGGGGGCGGAGCCGTCAAAAACTACCCGAATCTTACTCCCAGGGGTCCTCAAGACCGCATGGTGAGGGAGGAAGTAGTGCTCCTGTGACCGCCAGTCGAAATTGGACGGTGACATGTGACGCAGCTCTTGATACTCGCGCATGAACTCGACATATTTGTCGCGAAAGGCTGGGTCGCGCCGCATACGGCGCTCCATGGAAAGCAACCTCTTTTCGGCCAGGGTACGAGATTGGCCCCAAGGGGGCCGTGAGTCAAGAAAGGGTAAGCGAGTGAAAAAACGACCGCCGACACGACGGCCGGTATTGTTCTGGTAGAACAACTCGCACTCACGGTCCAGAGGGTTGACTCGAGACGCGTATGGTGGCTCCTCAATTTCCCATAACCGCTGGACGACGTCCGAAAGGGACACGTCCACCACAGAGAGCGGGTCGGCCGTCTGAGGAGGTGGAGACCACAGAACCGGTCCAAAGAAACTGCCCAAATACAGCGGACACGGCTGACAAGCCATCGGGCTGTAGGGCTCGTGTCTCGCCTAACAAGATGAACCCCAGCGCGTCGGCCCCCAGCAACAAATCTATAGGCCCAGGTTGGGACCATTGAGAGTCTGCCGGTCTCAAACCCGACGCACAACGAACCGCGCTGTCATTTATACGGACGTTAGGGAGAAAACCTACAATGTCATCGAGGACATTTACTTTAACTAGAATGTGAAGGTGTTCGCTGGCAGGGCCAAACACCAACTCCGCTTGTCCCCTAGGAGCAGGAGGCACCTCCGATACCTACCATTGGACGTGATTCAGAGCTCCAGGGGAGGCCTAGTCTTCCCACCAACCAAGTGGAGGCCACACAGCGTTGTGAACCCGAATCCAAAAGAGCGCCAACCGTTAAACAGTCGCAACTCGGGTTGTACACCTACACTGATGCCGTCGGCAATAGAACAGTTTGACAAGTAGACTGTTGACGGCTCAAAGAATCAGTGGAGGCGGCCGTGGTGGGAGCTAGGGCGGCAGCTACCTAGCTGGAGCTGCCTACATCGGACCGGCACTCGAACCGGGGGGTCCCGAAAGCGGCATTCCGGCGGCATCTCAATGACCCGTGGTTGGAAATCACCGAACGGGCCGACCTGGGAAGCTTCGGGGAACCTCGGCCTTGAGGCCCGGGACAGATTCGAGGTCACAGGAATCCCGTAGTACCGGTACCGACCAAAGGGGGGTAGGCTGGTACTCCAGTCGCGGCCACTCAGCTCACGTGGATGAGAAGGGTCTGGCTGACCGCTGAGTGGCCGTGAAGTTCCTCTCAACACGCTTAGGGGGGCGACGACCCCCCCCCCGCTCCTGGGGGACGACCCCCCCTACTGGTCGAGGGAGGGACCCCTTCAAACCCAGGGGCACGGTGGCCGGCAGGGCAGTCTCGTTGGAGGTGTCTTTCCAAGCACGAGTAGCACCAGCGGCGCTCCTTGGCGATGGTTCGCCTCGCCGGGATTGGCTTACCCAATAACTTTGGGCACAACGTCACCCGGTGATCGGATGCTCGACAATAGGAGCAGGGGGGCGCCTCCCGGGACGCTAGACCGCTATAAGATGGTAGGGGGCGGCGCCCTCCCGCGGGAGCTTCGCTCGGTCTTAGGTGGTTGGCGACGACTTGCCCGGTGGATTCCACCTCTCCCTGGGCACGGCTCGGTTGGCAACCCGTAGGTCGTCGACGGTGCCCGCTGCGTTCTCAATTTGCCAGCACTTCTCCTCCAAGAACCGCAGCAGGTCACTGAAAGGCGGAATATAGGAGGCGCCGTCCCCGCCGTACCTCTTCTCAGGGATGGAAGGAATGGATCCGAAGATCGAGAGGCAGGCGGGACAGCACGATGTGGAGCAACAAGAAGGACCATTCGTCCACCGGTAAATCCAGCCGCCTCAACGAATTACAGGCTACCACAACTGGATTTACGATGTGCGGACGTAGTCTGGCCCGGTCCCTAAGCAGCGGGAGGTTTAGAAGCTGCCTAACGTATTCGTCCGCAATTCGCCGGACGTTGGCGTACCTTCCTGCGAGGAGGTCCCGGGCGGCCTGGTAGGCGTCGTCCGACAATTTCAAATGGCCGACGACGCCCAGGGCCTCCCCCTCCAGTAAGTTCAGGAGGTACGCCATCTTTTGGCTTGGTGTCAAGTCCCTCCGGGCGTCCACTAGGCTATCAAAAAGGCCAACAAAGGTCAGCCAGTCGGAGAGGACCCCGGAGAACCTTGGCAGGTGCCCAGAGTTAAGAGTCTTCGAGTTAAGAGCTTCCGAGGGGACTCGGGCAGGCCACTCAGCCGAGCTTCACGCGCTTCATTAGCATACTTGGCACCCGCCTCGATCAAGTCGTCCGTGAGCGAAAAGAATTGCTCGTAGTCCGCGAGACAGGAGTCTAGGACTCCCTGTTCCGCATCCGAGGCCAAAAGCTCAGTGCAAGCCTCCTCCACTACGGCCCTTCGGGCCATGACCTGCTCGATCCGCTTCTCTAAACTATGGACCCGATCGGGTCGCCCTATCAAGGTATGGGCATTCGCGGCTCAGCGCAGATCAGCGAAGCGCCGGTGGCTTGTGCGGTGGCTTCACTACTAAATACGAATTACTATTAAATTAAATACAATTACACTACACGGCAAGTACACACTACAGTCGGTCAGCAAAGATGTCCCGCTCAGGATACCGACCCTTCGGTAATTTAATCTACTTACCCGAAATACGCTGACGCGTAGGTACCTAACCCTAAACTACACTCCTGCTTGCGCAGCCTAACGGACGTGGTTCTAACCAGCGATCCGCTAACAAAACAAAAAAATATATTACGGCCGGGCGTGATTGGAGAAACAATCAAGCACGCTCTGCTACCAGAATTGTTACGGCCCTCAGTTGCTCCGACAGAAGTCGACTGGGCTAGGGACCATCAGTAACCCAACTCGACGGGCAACAAGAGGGTTCGGGCCCAAACGGCCTATGGATAATTATTATGTAATGGCTGGATAAGCAAACACAAACTTACCGAGTTCCGGAGGTAGGGTCGACCACACGGTACCGTCAGGGGCAAGTAAATGGTAGGTATGAGTGGTGTAAGAAGGTGTGTAATGTCAACTGATGTCACCGATGTAATCGGCCAGCAGACCCACATGCGTTGCCCTGCTCCACAAGGTGCTATCACTCCAGTGGTCTTTCACCGTTATCTGAACTTAAGTCTAACGTAACTTAGTACAAAACTATAATCGAAGAGGGACGCGATCTCCTCCCGGGTCACAAGGTTTCAGTGTTCCACCCGACAAGCAAAAATTCCTTCGTACGATATTAAAATACCACACAAGCAACTCGTCGACGCAAATGAATGGCAATCGAAGTTAAATTAATCACGCAAACTTAAGGAAAGCCTCGTTGTCACGTATACGAACGAAAATAAAACAACGCAAAGGAGGCAGTCTTAATGCGAACCAACGATTCTAACGTAACTTCCCGACATCTAACCGACACGGCCGTCGCGGACAATAGATTGTTCCAGACTAAATTGGCACGCTGCCGCCCGAAAAGCAACTACACCCGGCACAAACCGTCAAACAGGTTTATCGCCCGAGACGAGCGTTTTTGCAAGTTTTAAGTTGTTACGATTTGGCCTAAACAGATAGTCTTATCTATGACTAATAAATTATCTCAACAATACATTGATACTCCTGGCGTGTAATTATCATCATCATCATCATCATAACAGCCCTTCACAAGTCCACTGCTGAACATAGGCCTCCCCCAAGTAACGCCACAAAGCACGGTCCTGAGCCAACTGCATCCATCGACTTCCTGCATGTCTTAACAGGTCGTCACTCCATCTAGTGGGGGGTCGCCCTACACTACGCCTACCGGTACGAGGCTGCCACT